TTCACAGTGTTCAGAGGAGGTTGGGTGTGGTTTCTTGGCTCGTGGCCCCGTTGAGATGTTCGAAGAGACAACAACAACAGGATCCTTCGGCAGGAAAACTCCACGGGGAAAATTCTGGTGAGAACCTCTGGTGGAAAACCGAGACAGAATTTTTGGTAGGAAGTTTTCTGACAGGCAGGAACAGTGGCGAAACATCATTGTTGGCATTTGTATGTCACCCGTCTGTTACCCTCCCGGCAGCCCCAGACCCTCCCCCAGCTCCCCTGAGCCTGTCCCACGGCCCAGCCCAGCTCCAGCCCTGGCAGAGCTGCAAACACCCCCCAGCTCGGCCCCCCGGGCTCCTGAACCCCCAAACCAAGGCTCGGGCTCACCAGCAGTGACTGACCTGGGACACAGAAAGGTTTCGAGGCACTGCAGAACTCAGAAACGTGTCCATGCCCTGCCAGGCCGCCCCAGTTCTGTCCCGTCCAACTGAGCCGGGCAGGTGGGGCCAAGGCTCCCCTTCCTCCTGGGGAATCGCTCCCCGAGCACCTGGAAACAACCTGGAAAAGGCACAATAATCAAAACCAATAAACGACAAAACGGACTTTATGGAGCTGCAACACCAGGACGGTCCCAGGAGGCAAAGGCGAGAGGAGAACCAAAGTAGCACCTGGGACTCTGGTTGGAGGAACACAATGTTACCGAGTTATGAGCCAGGGCAGGGCTTCTGGGAACAGCCCCTGCTGACTGGAAAGGGTTCAGGCCCCAGGGCTCAGTCTGCAGCCCACAGTCAATCTCAGCCATTCCCAACCACCTCAGCCATTCCCTCCAAACGCCACCTCTCTCTCCTCTACATCACCTCCCACTTTCCTACAGAAAACAGTGGTTGTGTCCCCTCTAAACTACCCCAGGTTTTCAGCTCAAAGGGTCACCTCTGTCCCTGCTAAGTAACCTCAGGTTTTCTGTCCAAAACGCCGCCTCGGTCTGGTCTGAATTCCCAGCCTTTCTCTCACAAAGGCTCCTTTCTCCTCTCTAAGGTACCCCTGGGTTCACCCCACAAAAGTGGTGATTTTGTTTCATCCAAATTACCTCAGCATTTCTGTGGAAAATGTCACCTCTGCTCCCCCTCCCAATTCGCCTCTGCTTTTCCCTCAGAAACGTTCCTTCCGATCCCCGTACGGGAACTCGGGTTGGACCCCTAAACCTGCCGCGACTAGCTCAGGTTTTACCCCAGAATTGTCCCTTCCTGTCCCGCTCAGAGAACCTCGATTTCCCCCCTGAACGTCCCTCACTAATTGCCTCGGGTTTACCTCAAAATGTTCATTTTACCCCTCCGTGAGAGGCGGGAGACCACCAGTCCCGGGTGCCCCGGGAACCGGCGCGGCCGCTCCTTCCCCGCTCGGTGCCGCCGGCCCGGCCGTCCCCTGCGGGGCTCCCCCGGGCCCGCCCGTTCCCCGCTCCCCATTTCCCGTTCCCCGCTAATTGTTCCCCGTTAATTGCTCCCCGCTAATTGTTCCCCGCTAATTGCTCCCCGGGCACGGCGCATGCGCAGGTCCCGTCGCTGCAGCCTCTCCCTTTGACCAGCAGGCGGCCCCGCGGTCATTGAAGTCACTGCGCACGCGCTGTCCTGGGCCGGGCCGCCCGCGCCTCCCACGTGACTGGGGCCGTGCGCTGGCTCACTGCGCATGCGCCCCGGCCCAGCGCCCTTCCGGGGCCTCACGGGTACAAGGCCTTTGGCGTTTGATTTATATGACGCAAGTCATATTTTCACCTTCAAGGCCTACAGATCCATATTTGCAATTTCTTAGACCCTAGAATCCTCTATATAAATATAACAGGTATGAGGGTTTAGTTTTAAAATTAATTTTTACATAAATTATTTGTTTATATATATATATACACACATATAAATGAGAAACTGTAAAGGCTTTAGCATTTTACACACATACACGCACACTCTCCCTATGAATTCCCAGGTATTTTGGGGCTGTAACCTCCCCTTTTTAGGGGGCAGGCCAGAGACAAAGCAGCACAGAATCATTTACATTGCATAAGAACTTTGAGATCCT